TTTTTTTTTATTTTAATTTTTTGTTTTCCATTTAGGTTTAGGTGTGTGTTTCAGTTTACTCTAATCGACCCATACAATGCTACAAAAATCAAAAACCCGTTAAAAATACTAAACGATGTAATTTATTAGCAAATAAAGTTCATCGAAGAGTTTTTTGGGACGTACATATATTTTTCAAAAGAAAATATCTTTTGGTGGCACACCCTACCTAAAAATTATAGTAGTAAATTAACGCACGTTAAAGTTCGTCCTTTATAAATAATCGTGATTATCTCCAAAACAGTTGAAGATAAGTATAGGAAACCTCTATATCAGTCGACGCAGAATTTAATTCTACATGTTCCTGACTGATAAAATTGTTACTGTTTCATTTGAATAAAATTAGTTTTCAATCTTTGAAAATTACCGTGTTGGCCGCAAAATTTTGAGGACCTTGTGCATAGCTAGGTCAAATGTGACACATTTTCGGTGAATACATAATAAATACTACTAATAATGGAAGTATGTCCAATTATACAAATGGTAGAGATATTTAATATTATTCGCGACGTTTCATCTAGCATTTTTTTTTAAATCTAAATATCTCGAAAACGAAAACCATAAATTTTCAAGGCATGGACGTGGTGACAAAAATTACTCAAAATAACTCATAGAATCGACGAATAATATAAAAAAATGGGGTATTCCATTTAAAACAATGGAGATGACGTCACTTCCGGTGAAACCGGAAGTATCCCACTCTTGAAAGTATTTCAAGACTAAATTGAACACATATAGCTGTCAAAATTTAATGAACGGGTTACATGAAAAACCCTAAAAATTAAAATTAAAATTTTAAAAAATTTGTCTTACTTTTCAATAACAAAATATTATGCAATGTGTCTAAGCAAACATATGACATATTCTTATGTATATATTTCTGTAACCAGAAAAAGTAGAGGAATTTAATTTTGTTTATATCTTTAACACGCAACATTCAATTGTTTTTTTATATAACTCCATGATATCATATGCGTTCATAATTGTTTTTTATGTATTTATGAAGCGGCTGCCCAATTTATTTTGCACCCGGCCCTGTTATTGCTATACTGAAATTAATGAATTTAAAATAAATATCTTGCTTAAATTACACACATATTGATGTAACTAATATTATCTTATTTAAATAATTTCCCAAACCCTAGATAAAAACTCAAACCGCATTAACTGAAGCTTTTTTGTCGTATCTGCCGGTAGCTGGTATTTTACTAATTTCCATGTCACGTGATATGAATTTATTCCGTTACCCCGTCATTTCATCTCAAGAAAACTGTATTTCCAAATATCTATGTAATGGATCCTTTAACTATTGAACATAAGATGGCGCAGTATCGAAAGTGTAAAATTGACCGTGAACGATTAAATATCAAGTTTACATACAAATGGCTCCTCCTTGTAACGAATTCGAGAACTAAAATTTGATCAACTATTCAGCCATAACAAATATAATACTATATTTACTTATACAATGGTAGTATGTACTTTCAGATGATCAAAGAACCTAACCTGTATTTTATATTCATTTCATCCATATCCTTCATTATAACCATGGAATTTTTCTTACATGGTGCCTCAGGGTCAATAACAGAACCACACACATTTAAATAATATTTAATACCCTTGTTTTTAGGATCATCTATCTCATAACTATCACCAGAGAGCTTCAATGGACTTAAATCATAGAGCTCCTCTCGAAATGTTACAGAGCAGTTAAAGTATTCTTCTGATTCATGCTCACAACTTGATTTATTCTAAAAAAAATTGTAAGTAGCCCACAATGATATTAAAGGTTCATTTGCTGAATTTAAAGGTGATTAATATCAAAGAAAATATTTAAAAAAATTAAAAAATATACTTGAAAATTATCAAAAGCTATTTTATACATTTTTACTTACATAAGTCGGACATGCATACGGCGTATTCCAATTTATAAATAAATCACAGTCATCAGCTTTTACAAATATAGGGCCTTGATCTGTTTTTGAACAGTAAAAGTCTATGTGAGTGCTGAACCGCTTTAAAGGATCTTCTTTGTTACATTTTACACCATCTAAATAAATACAAAAATAAATAAGAAAAAAATTACTAAATAAGGAAAAAAAGAAACAACAGTCTGGTTGGTTCTTCAATGAGGTGTTTTTCAAGTACATTACAAAATGAGAATAGGTTAAAAAATATTACACGAGAGAATTTAAGTCTTAAAACAAAATAAAAAAATACGCATTGTGATGAACATAAAATTACAGTATTAGTGTAAATCACATTTTTATGAACATTCTTACAGTGTTGCCAAATTTTCAAGGTCAAGCAGCTTTAAATGAATCTGGAAATTTTTAGTTGCATTTGCAATATTACCGAAAAGCTGACATTTGTGAGAAGGATTTTCATTTAAATTTTATAAAAAAATAAAATATATTAGTTAGGCTTGTGGACTTCTGCGAACATTAATGCACACCATACATGTATGTTCCAAAGAAGCTTTGTGGTTACGAAAACCTCGCGTGACGTTCCCAAAATTGTTAAATCCCTTCTTATTCCACACGCCCGACTTTACACCCAAAATTAAACATACAGAAAAGTTTTTTTAAATGAACACTTCCACACAACCACTTATACTACAAATACCATTCATTCCGAAACTTTCAAACGTACAAGTTGTCTTTTGACTTCCCCTTTTTTCCATATCAAGAGAATAAGGCACAGGTCTCTCGCAATTTACAAAATCCTTTTTGTCTCAATTTTCCATCTGGAAAATAACGTTTCCAATGAAATACGTACTGGATCATACATAGGAAACATTTCTACAATTATTATAGGTACAAAACAAATATTAACTAAGAACCGTTATAATCGTGCACTGGGCGACGCGTATCGTGTAAACTGTTAAAGGCAGGCAATGGGCGATGCTGCTTCAATTTATGCGTCACTTGTTCCCCAACGCCGTAATTTAATCACACATTGGCCGCCTCGTTGCCATGACAACCGCCGTAAACAACGCTACGAAGAGAAGCAGAATACAGACTGATTTTAATCTGCATCATTAGCGTATACTATACGTTGTATGGTCCGAGATTAATGTTCGCGCTCAACAAAGGCAATGTTTTTTTAGAAGGCATTCACCGTGCAACTATTCTGTTTATTTCTGCATATTAAACAAACAAACAATTTTCAATATAGAATTATACCTAAATTAGAAAATTTATATAAAATTAAAAATAATTTTAAATTGCACAACCAAACGGAAATTTTAGGTGAAACGGTGCGTCACTTGCGTCACCTGACGAGCCGCCACTGCCTTATAGTTACATCTCAGACTGCTGATGATAAATTTTCCAGTCCGAAATGTCACTAAACAGTTGCATATTGTACATCATTGGATTTGAAAGAAAATAAAGTATAAACAATAGTGGTGTAAAAATTGCTAGAAGACAAAACATCGCAATAAAAATCTAATTCCTTAATTGAATAAATGAGTCATTATGGTCTTAAGAAAGTGTTTCTATTTCTGTACAAATTATCAAATAAACCCGGAAAACAATAAAATTGACATCCGCAAATTTTACATTAAAAATAATTCTTTGAGAAATTAACACATATTAAACAGTATGTGTTAATAAACTATTGACCCATATATCAAATTAAAGCTCTTTTCATGGCATATTTTTAAGTTTTCTCGTTGTAACAATTTTTAAATTAAATAGTTAAAAAGCCTTGAAAAGATATTGGTATAAATGGTATTTTGATTATATTTTAAAAATAGGAAATACATCCTTGAGAATTTTTAAATGGTGGACCCTAATAATAATATAAACTTACTAGTGTAGGAAATTTTAATGACATCGTTATATACTTTAAATTTAGATGTTGTGCTTCCTCGGTTTATATATTTCCCATCCTTTAATTCACACACCTGAGAAAATGATCCTAGAATAATATAACATTAACGATATGTTTTAGATAAGCACCTAACTACCTACTAGTACAGGAATTTTCCAGGCTTTGTTTAAAAGTTAATGGTCCACAAATATTTAGATATATAACACTTCCATTAGGCACCTTTAACACTTGGTATCTTCCATTATTTCTATATAGATTTGTCAAATTGTAAATCAGAGATGAATCTTCTACCTGCAATAAAATAAATTTTTGTATTGTACACCATTGCAAGTAAAAACTTAATTTCATTTACCACACATTCAGAAGGTAACTTTACACACCCATAGGAAGAATCCATAATGAATTTATACTCCTTTCCTTGAGTTGGAAGCTTCCTGTAATTTATCTGTCCTATATCATTTTCCCAGTCACATTTCAGTAACAATTCAAATTTCTTTAAATCTAAAAATTAACATTTTTGTGTAGCGTTTAAAGTGAACCGATAGACAAAAAGAGAAAGAGAAATATGAGAATGAATGGATTATATTACTAATGTTATGATTTTTTTTACAATATTGTAACAGTAATTCAAGCAATTCAGTTGAAGTACCATATTTCAGATATTAAAAAAATACAATTTTGTTACAGACAAAAATCTAGAAACTATGTTTAATTTTGAATGAACTGAAGTATTAAAGTTATACACATACAACACATTTGATAAATAGGGTGATTCAGCTAAAACTCCCTAGGCTATTTACCTGAGAACAAAAGAAGATTCTGCAAGTTCTATTGGTTACATATAGAGATTGATTTCATGTTTGTGTAGAAATTTGTTTTCATTACAGGTATTAAAAGCAGTCATATTTCAACATTTTTTGTTATATATACTTTTTCATCAGTATTAATATTTTTTGAAATATCCTAGTATTTATTGAGAACACCATATTTTTTTAAAATGTATATGTGTTTTGTATAAAAAAACAAAAAATTACTTTATTTTTAGATAATCATATTTCTAAAGTTCCTGCAATAAAAGAATTTAACTCGGCATACCAATGCCAGCAATATCCTCATTGGCATTATTTATACACAAAAATAAAGTGACTATGTATATCTAATGAATAGAACTTGCAGAACGTATATATCTGCTTCTCTTGTTTCCAAGTAACCAGCCTGTATTTCCTCGACAGCAGGCCGCAATGAAATTTTTTTTAATTTCAAATATTTCACAAATATAAGTCAATAATAATCATAGTCACATATTATTAAATTATAATGGTGAATAATGCATTACAAAATATGACTAATGTCAACAAATGTTGTATTTGTATTGTTTTAACACAAATATTTGTAAATAGGTAGTTTTTATACTCACCACTTTCTTCTTTATATGATCCACGAAACACAATTTCATTTTTGTCTGAATTATAAATTATTCTTTCATGGTCGACCCTGGACAAAGGTATTATTCCACCATTATCCTTTTTACAGATAGAAATATCACTATCAGCTTTGGTACATTGTTGTTTTGCACCACATAAAGCAATACTAAAATTTGTGTTGTTTATTGAGGTGACAAAGTAATTTCCTTTTAGTTTTCTTAGGTCAATTAACTGGTTATCGATATTTGTGACACAATTTAGTGAACATTTTGGATGAATCATATGTATATTGTATTCACAATCACTTTCCTTTTCTAAATGTGCTTCCTAAAATGTTATTACTAGTTTATATTCTATGGAAGTTGTCAGCTTTATACTTTCAAATAAATTTTATATACAATATAACTCATTTAGGATGGAATTGTAATACATTTTTTTATCGATTTGTTTCAGGATTATTTTCAAAAAATGGAAAAGAAACTATATTACATCACAAAACATTTCCATTAATTTTTAATTATGGAACATATATATTTATACCGAGTTTAGAGAATATTAATTTTGAATGGCAAAATTAATATTAAAGGTTTTTATCATTTCTATATTACTTTCACCATTATGTAGTAATAATTTATTTTTTTTTTTGCTAAACTTCATACAAACCTCTAATAGCGAAAGTAGGCACAATGTTTAAAATTTAAATTTTATTTTAATTTATTTTGGTTCAAAATGATATTTTGAACACTACTTATTAAAGGATTATTTCATCAAGGTTAAAATTTTTTATCTCTGAAAAATAACAAATCACTTTTCTAAACACAAAAATTTATTATAAAAATTTAATTTCATCAAGCATGGAAAATTGTATTGTATTTAAATATTGCTAAACTGATTATTTCTAAATATTTTTTTTTAATATAGATAATTCACTAAATTAATCAAAGGCTCACTGCGCTAGTTATTCGACCAATACCAGTTCTCAACTTGTTTTGTAAAACTAAAATAGAAGAAAAATAAATATTATTTCTTTCCCAATTTCCCTGTTTTCAACCATGATTTCCACTCATCACAATTCCATCATATTTTTTGTTTGATTTAAAATCTTCCTATTACGTAAACACAAGTAGTAGCATTCAAGTAGTCTACTGACATATGACAAAAACTGTTAAAAATTCTAAGTGAACAAAGAACAGAAAACAAATGCTAAATTCAAATTGATTTTCAATGTGAATATTTAATTTTTTTCGTAAAATCAAGAGGTCAAGTTAAGGTATTAGAAAAATGTTTTGACTAGATTTCAACTAACTGGCCAAGAATCGAGTAACTAGCTAGTTTCTCTCCCTCTTTTTTGTTTGGTTTTGATCAAATATCTTCTCTTTTACTTTAACTCACTATGTGGAGGCATAATTGTAATATATGATCGTTATCCACTTTTCCCTCATTTGTTTTTATAATTTTTAGTCAAGTAGTCGAAAAATTAACTCTTTTTCAACCAGCAGATTTTATATGGATTATTAATTTATTTAGTCGGCATTAATTTATTGATATGTTATTTGTATTACAGTTGTCCAGTTTTAGAAGTCTTCCAAAAACTCTGTTGAAATTAATGTCAACAATCACAAAAAATTAAGAAAAATTGGGTTTATTTCTATATTTCAAAGATATTCTCCAAAAAGACAATTTCCTACTTTGCTGTCAGTTCTATATTACTCTATTTTTAATTCAGGGGTGAATGACCGTTTTCAATTAGAATTATGGATGTGGTGGTCAAAAATAGGAATATTTTATGATCCAAATCAAGCAGTAGTTGGTCAAAAACACGTAAAATAAAAATAAGTTGTCAATTATTTTTATTCATTTTAGATCGTAAAAGAAAATCTTTTTTATATTCAGCAAGTTCAGAATAACTTATCAAATTTGTGGTAACTTGACCATAAAATATAAAATTTCTGTTAAAGTCGTTAAGGCTAAAAATAAAAAATAGTCAAAAATCTGAGCAATGACATTATGGTTTCTTTTACATATCAAAAACACAAAAAACTTAAATACCTAATGCTAACAAAAACAAATAAAAAACTTTGCCCTTGAAATAAATTTTCACCAAAACATCGTAGAAATATATTTTTGAACTAAAATCAGCAAAAAATATAATAAATGCCCTTTCGTTTTCAAGTAACTCCATTGTTTGGGTCATCCTGTACAGTAAAAATCAATAAAATTTCGCTATTAATAGGACTGTATAATTTATGTTTCATTGTAATGCAACATAAAATGTATTATGGTATAGATTATTTTGAAAACAATAACTGATTCATTTAAATTATTATACAGGGTGTTCCAATTAAAACTTCCCATCTTGCAATTAAAAAAAAGCAAAAAAAACTGAGACATGCCGATTTTCTTTTCAAAGGGGAGACATGATGGCATAAGTTTTGGTGTCTTGGAAGCTACTCCTTAGCCAGGAGCACAAATACCCCTAAACTTTAAATGTTGAGTGACACCTCATTTTAAAGCTTTTTCAATTCTGCTTACAAGGACATATGCCTTTTTAAGTTTTGGTTTGAATATGACAATAAAATCTTCATTTAAAAACAAAATATCAATGAATGAAAGAATGTTATTTTATTAAGTGTTCAAATTTGTTTCCCTCTGCTTCCATACAATAATAAAATCTTTTGAACATTTCGAAACATTTCGAGCGTTATCTGACAACATTCTTCAAAAATTTCTCGATAAAAAAAAATTTGTTTTGATTTTTTGTTTATCTGTTGATACAAAAACATTATATTGTATCGCTTTACTTTAAACGAGACAATATTGTCTCGTCATGTCTTGTCCAGACAATATCCCGTAAAATCATCACAAAGTCGACTGAATTCCAATTCGTGAAAATGGTTTATACAATGAAAAAGCGGAAATAATTAATTTGTTCTACAATAATAATGACTATGCATGGCAGGCAGCACAGATTTTTAATGATTGTCATCCTGACAAAAACACTTCGCATCAGTACCTCCTGGATTTAGTGCATAAATTTTCGGAAACTGGATCGGTTGCAAACAGAAAGCATCAACGTGAACACGACGTACGTAATGAGGGTAATACCTGATTACCCTCATTACGTCCCATTACCCTGTCCTAGGTCACATGGCAATGGGACCAAATTTGTGTCTCAGAAAACTTAAAAGTACTTCAGGAATTACTGTACCTAATTGCTGCCGAATCTTAAAAATTTATAAGTATCACCCATACAGAATTAATTTAATGAAGATGATCCTGATCGCCGCTTGCAGTTCTGTGAAGAAATGAGTGATCGTGCTCGAAGGAATACAAATTTTTTATACTAATCTGTTTTTCCGATGAATGTACGTTCCTTACTGGATGGTCGAGCCAACTGCCGTAATTGCCGCTATTGGAGTGATGAAAATCGGCGCATTTTTCATAAAACTCATATGCAGCATCCGAGGATATTAAATGTTTGGGCGGGCATACTGGGAGACCACCTCATAGGACCTTTCTTCCCACCGGAAAATCTGGATGAAAACATGTATATGAATCTACTGGAAACGAATATCTACCCGATGATTGTGGAAATTATGGAAAATGACGATGCTTTGCCAGAAGACGATGTATGGTTTCAGCAGAATGATGCTCCACCTCATTATGCCGTAGCTGTATGTGATTTTCTCAACCTTTCTCACTGTGGCGCCAGTCGGATCGAGTTGTTCCCCTAACGCGGCGCTATAAGGCGGCAACTGCAGTAAACCTTTAAAAATTTTTTAAATGGGAGACATGTATTTTCTTTCTAGCTCATTATTATTATAAAGGAAGGTAAAGGAAGTAAATTTTTTACAACTTTATACAAATTTAAAAAAGAAAATAATAAAAAAATATTCCAAAAAAAGTATGTAGTAAAGGAAGGCGGGATGGGTGGTGGGAGGGCTGCACAGCAGACTTGAGATACCTCCACCAATTACTACGCTGATTTGTAGATATCACAGAGAATCATAAACACCTAAAAGCTTAAAAACGCCAGACGCACAATTATATTTTTTGACATATATAGGTGGTAGGTACAGTGAAAAAGAGGAGCTTCGTCGGAGCTTCCAAGACACCGAAACTTACACCATCACGTATCCCCCTTGGAAAGTAAATTAACGTGTCTCAGGTTTTGTTTTTTTTTTTCTAATTTCGATATTTTCCAGGTGGGAAGTTTTAATTGGAACACCCTATATATACAAGACATTATCTAAAACCACTTGGTTTTTGGTTTAAAATTTACCTAAGAAATAATTTTCAAAAAGTACCCTATATAATTATAATTGTTCTTAAAAAAATGATAAAATTTAGGGAATTTCGCCAATTTCATACCTCAAGAAAAAAATGATTATTGTAATATACTTAAATATGTTCCCTTTCTTTTCTTAGCTAAGTACATAAATATATATTAATTAAATAACTTATTAAAATTAAAAGAAATACTTTACCTCCATATCTTGGTCACATTCAAATTTAATTGTTATTTTATATTTTTTTGCAGAATTAGCTTTGCAGAAATTTCCACTAACAAGTTTAAGTGAATTGTCTTTTCCTATAAAAATACATTGGTAAATAATTAATATTTTATATTATTTTCCTTTCAGCTCTTACCTAAAATAAACTTTTTTCCAATTATTGTATTATATTCTTTACTTTTTAAACAAGCTGCAGCTTTTTCACCACATATTTCTTCACGCAAATAACCGCACAATGTGTAGAAAATAACAATACCAGCATCTTTCACTATCCATTCTTTGCTAAAAAGGAAATAGTAATAATTAGTGAGTAAATACTACATCACCTCAAATAAATATGCAAATAAAAATGTATTAGTTTACCTTGTAAATAATAATTTACCACCTGATGAATTATAGGAACAAGAATTTAAATATTTTTGGAACACAAACGGATGTGATTTAGCTGCCTTACAAAAAAGTAATATTAAATTGCAAAACAACAGCAACCCACATAAATTGAAATTAGACATGGTAACTGATTATTTCCAGAAACGCTGTTAGTGTTAAATAATCTTGAAAACTGCTTCTTGGAATAAGGATAGTCGCACTCAAATTTCCGCCGACGTAATGAATTTAGCAGTTAAGCTAAAAAATACAACTTATCAACAAGTCATAAACAACAATCCCATGTGATTATTATTTTAATCGATATATGTACGAATAATATACCTACACCTACCTCATGCATTAAAACGCGCTGAATTTTGTAGGTTATGATTTCAACAGAGGTCGATGTTGACTGGGAAATACGTAATTAATTTCACACTAAATATATTGTTTGTACTAAAGCATCATATTGTGAACATTGTTAGGAATACTTTTAGTTATTTGCTCAAATAATGCAGTCGGAATTCTCAGTGCATTCTTTAATTCAATGAAAAATATCAGAGGAAATACTTTAACCGCACTCCGCACTACCGCCGGGAAAACACAAGGGAGTTTCTGTCCTTTTCTATCAGTTTCGGGGAATTACCCTCAACTCCCCTCCAGTAATTTCGTAATCGATGGTATCACAAACAAGAATCTATTTTTTATCATACTTTTATTTGTATATCACATTCAAAATAATATCTTAAATCATTGCAATATCTGTGAACAAACAAATATGGTATTATTTATTATTATATAATACCTATTTTTGTACTTATTTTTAAATCCTTTTATCTCAAAAATTAACTTTGCTATAGTGCATGCTTGTATTTTTTTTCTTCTTAACTTATAGCAAATAATTCTCCAAATTTATTTATATCATGAGTAGATAAGTTCGATTTTAAAAAAACTATACGTCTCCGAAATATTTATTTTTTGGACTCTAACAAATATATTTAACCCTTAAGTACTGACATACAATTGTAGGAATATATATACTGATGTGTCGTCTGAGACACTACTTTTTAAAAAATATTTGTACTATGGCATTATTTAAAATTTGAAATACTTTTAAGTATAATATATTTCATTACAATGGTATGTGATATAAATTATAAACATTGAAAAAATAATACTAGTTGTTTGAAAAAATATATATTTGGTAACTAAAGATAAGAAAATGTAACATAAAAGCATATATACCGCGTTTTGCGATAAAAAAAATAAAAAAAATGAATGCAAAACTAAATTCAGCTGCCTTAAATGTTAAACAAATATTAAAGAAGCGTTGTACATAGAAAATACGAAAAAATGATAAACATAACAATACATTTACAATCGTCAAAAATATGCTTCTCACAGATCTTCCACGCAGCGGACTCATACCCTTTTTGTACACTGAAGGCATATAGGCTTCTTACATGTGTTACACAAGTATTTTGACATTCACCTCTTTTTACTTGGGCAAATGAAACATATTTTTCGTTTTTCTAATCTATCGTCGTCGATCCCATCTAATGGTTTTTCTTCAATACCCAAAATGCGACGTATGCAAAATTTTATTTCTCTAGGAATGTGAAGATTGGCTTCTTTCCTTTTCATATGTGATTCAGCTAGTTGTCTTGCAAGTTGTTTTAGAAAAGTTTTTGAAGAACTCGCTTTTCTAGACATTTTGAGGCAGCAAACAAATATGTGTATGCTTAACCGTAGCTACACTCTTGCTGACGTGTCGTCTACCGGACGACATTCAACTTTCAGTTTCCAGTTGCTTCGGTACTATTCGCTAATATTTCTTTTATTACTTTTATTATTGTGCTGTATACCTTTTTTGATCTTTCATTTGAGAGTACACTAATATTGGGATTAGAATTCTGTTAAATAAAAAAGATATCAAAAATTATAAAATAGCGGTAGACTGTCGGACGACATGTCAGTACTCAAGGGTTAGATGTTATTTATTGAAGCTCAATCTTCTTTATTTTAAAAGGCTATTCAACCATAAAAATATATAAAAAATACAAAAAATGCTCTAAAAACTCCAACAGGTGCTATCCTCCTTGGTTTACTTATGAAATTATAAAAAACATTCAATTAAAAAATTCAGCCCACAAAAATTATAAGAAATATAAGTTAGATAGTTATTTGCAAACATTTAGAAATTTAAGAGCTTTAATTAAGGAACAAATTAAAATATCTTATTCCGTTTATGTTCGAGAAGTAGAGCTTAGTGTTTCATTGGATCCAAATAAATTCTGGGGCTTTATTAATAACAAAAATAAGAGATCAAGGATACCTGGCAGAATGCAGTTAAATGATTCTAGTTTTGATTCGTCCCAATCCATTGTTACCGCATTTGCTGAATTTTTCTCTAGCGTATTTTTGGATTCTGACAATCAGAGTTTTGATAATGATACAGTATCATTTTCTAATCTACATATCATTATAAATACTATATCCGAGAAGGATATTATTATGGCCTCTAAAAAACTCAAAAACAAGATGACCGCTGGGGTGGATAAAATTCCAAGCTTCATTGTAAAAGATTGTATTCACGCGTTTTTGACACCTCTCCTTCATTTGTTTAATTTAATTCTGTCAAGTGAAATATATCCTGATTTATGGAAAACAGCCAAGATCTGTCCTATACATAAAGGTGGAGATCGCACTCTCATTGATAACTACAGGCCAATAGCCATACTATGTAATTTCGGCAAATTATTTGAAATTATTGTATATGATACCATCTATAGTTCGGTGAGGTCCACAATCTCATCTTTTCAGCATGGATTTATGTTGAACAGATCGACTATAACGAATTTATGCTGTGTCACGCAATATATCTCGGAAACTTTAGATGCTGCAGGCCAGGTAGATGTTATATATACTGACATAAGAAAAGCGTTTGACAGAATTGATCATCTACGTCTGCTGTCTAAACTCAGAGCGACAGGATTTTCAAGTTCGTTATCCAACCTAATCGAATCATATTTACTAAATCGTCGTCAGTATGTTGAATATGGTGGTGTACGTTCTGAGATGTATGTGTCGACATCAGGTGTTCCTCAGGGGTCGAATTTGGGTCCTTTACTGTTCCTTCTCTTTGTGAATGACATTTCAACTAAAATATCTGTGCAACATTTGCTTTTTGCTGATGATTTGAAAATTTATTTACAAATTAATTCAGTTATCGATTGCAAGGTCCTACAGGCCTCGCTAGATGAAGTTCACAGCTGGTGTCTTAACAACAGGCTTGAACTAAACTTAACTAAGTGTAAGGTTGTTTCGTTCCATAGGAAATCATATCCTATAATATTTGATTATTCACTGAATGGAGTTGTACTGGAGAGATGTGATACATATAAAGATTTGGGAGTAATATTCGATAAGGGACTCTCCTTCAACAATCATGTCCTGGAAACTGTTTCTTCTGCCTGCAGATTGTTAGGATATTTTATTAGGAATTGGGGCGAGTTCTCCGAAATAAATTCACTTAGAATTTTATATGTAACATTTATTAGAAGTAAAATGGATTATGCATCAATCATTTGGTCTCCTATATATCAAAATTCTATCCACCATATAGAATCCGTACAGCGTAAATGTCTAAAATTTATGTATTTTAAATGTAATGGGTTTTATCCCCCCAGAGGATTTGATCATCTAACTCTACTCGAGTCTTTCAGTCTTCCTGCATTGTCAGACAGAAGAAACTGCGCTGCGTTAACTTTTTTGTGTAAACTGTTTAATAACTCAATTGATTGTGACTATCTTTTGCAACAATTTTCATTTTCAGTGCCAAGAGCCCAGTCAAGATATAAGCCTACTTTTTATTGTAAAACCCCTAGAACTAATATATTAGTTAAATCACCGATTTATACTATGTGTCAATTATTCAATGGTATATCCGATCAGTGCGACATCAATTTTCATGGTATAAGTTATATTATTGCTAAGTTTAAGTCCACGCTATAGTTATTGATGGGTTATCCTGCTTAATTGTTGTTTTTCTTTTTCCTTTTTTTTTGTCGTATATTGTGAACTACTTTTTTTGTTATACACTTTGTCTTACATATATTTTTTTTCTCTGTAATTGGGTATTAATCCGTTGAGAATAAATGTATTATTATTATTATTATTATTATTATAAAATAAATATACTTATAATTTAATTTGTACTGATTATTATTAGGAAAATTGTGAATCACATAAATGATTTATCATAATCTTTATTGCAAAAATCACAAATTAGTTTACAAATTAATCTTAATGTAACACAAACAATATTTAACATAATTATGTCTATGTTGGAGGAGGATAAAAAGGCCTATGAGGCTGACTTGGTGGTGGAGCATTTGTAGAGAAAAATGGTGGTCCCCCTGGCGGTATGACAGTTGTAAAGGGAGGGGGATGATTAACATAAGGAGGAAAAACGGTTGGAGGAGGTGCAGTTATATGTGGAGGAGGTCCCGGTGGTGGACCAGCCATATGTGGCGGGGCTGATATACCCGGAGGTGCGCTCATTGAAGTAGGGAAAGCTGCTGCATAACTTGCAATGGAAGGGGGTGCTCCCGTGAAGGTCTGATAAGGAAATGGGGGCACATCGGAAGATGGTGGAGGAATTTTGATATTAACGGGTGGAGGTTGATCTGGCGATACAATTTTTTCGTTGCCATTGGAGGTTCTTCGTACACTCACTGGAGTTACTTGTGTTACTGACATTTGGGGCTGCAATGGTGGGCTATCTGGAGCATTGTTTGTGTCCATCTGAGAGTAGAGATCAAGCACCTGCCAATTTGCAATGTATTATGAATAACATTCCACATATTTGTTACAGTGTTAACAAAAAAGTAAGTGAATTTGTAACCCACAGATTGTTTAGATTCAATATAATACCACACATTCCTAACATTAGAATAAGTAAAAAATGTGTACAAACATAGGGCCACAAACGCTTTGTTTTCGAGATATTGGTGTTACAGATTCCAAAAAAAATAATGATAGGTACTTTTTAATATCCTCAAATTGAGTAGAGACTTTTAAGTGAAACTTGGTGTGACTTATGATTAAATAGTTTGTGGCAATATGTCTATTAAGTATTTCTAGCCATCAGTGGTGGACACTTGGGTAGGCAGTTTAATTAATTCGACAAATATAGTAGTATGACCCTATAAAAAATGAAAGCTGGTACCATTTTTATTGCAATATTTTACCTTGTACAAAAAAAGTATCTTGAGTTTTTCTTGTGTTTGCTACAGTTTCACGGCAAATTCAGATTATTTAAGTTCACCTCATAAATTGTTAATGGCTATAGTTACGGAAATATTCTAAATATGTTGCTGTTCACCTCATAAGCTTAGGTAGACGTTCATTATTTATCAGATATGGGTTGATTGTGGTAAACCTGTAACAAAGGATGAGGCTTCACAGTATTTACACTGCATTGATTATATTCAATTAAAACCAATGTATACAAATTGTCAGTTAACAACATTCAAAATTTAAATCAATGAATAATCCGGGCATAACCAGAAGTGGCTTCAAATAATTTGTATATTTTTTGTTAAAATGTGTCTCTATAGTTTCATTGTTCTTATTCCTAACATAGTTTTAAACATTTTTCTTTATTTTCTATGATTTATCTATCAATTAACATTCTGCATTTATTTTATTTACTACAGTTACTACTATCATTTAATCATTGATATGCGCAGTTAATATGGGTACTTCCATCCAGAATTTGTATTTGGTAAAGACATGAGAAGGTTTCAGTAAGTTAATTAACCATAAACTTTTTTGAAGTGTAATCGATAAATATGTTACATTGTTGATGAAATTAAATAAGACACCATGAGTTTATCAATGTTCATAAAATGAAAGTAATTAAAACATAAAAATGGAACATGAAAAGTAATATCAGACTGAAAATAGATTCTTTAAAAGGTACTTGTAAGCAAGCTCGACATATAATTATGAAACTGGTGGCCAATCAACACTGAAGTGGAGTTAATTCTTGACATGCCTGAACTATTTTTTTAAATAGATTTTCAAGGGTATTGACTAGCAATTTTTATTTAACTAATAATCCATCGGGTTTAAATCAGCATACTTCTATTTCCTTTACTAATAACCATTAATAAGTTTATGAGATAAACCAAAATAAACTAAATTTGCCATAAAACGGAAGCAAATACGAGAAAACCCCAAGGAATTGTCCAGGATAAAATATTACATTCAAAAATGGTACTAGTTCTCATTTTTTACAGGTGCGTACTCCATCGAATTAATTGAACCACATATTCATATCTCCTCCTCCACCGGGGTACTACTTATTATTGAGACATATTGCAACAAACTATCTAATGACAAGTCACACCAAGTTTTACTTAAATATCTCTGTTCGCTTTCAAGATATTAAAATATATTACTATTTTTATGGAATTCTATACATCCCTTATCTCGAAAACAAAGCGTTTTAGCCCTGTTTTTTTACTTATTCTGACCAGAGGAACACGTCCACAAAGTTTGTCGACTTAATCCTAAAACACCCTGCATATATATCAACTTCCTAAGTTATGTTTACAATACCCTATACTTTGGGCTTAGCACTAAAAAAAAAAAATTAAAATCAAATACTAAATTAAAATTTTAAAAGGTGGAAATAATCAAATGGCCAAAAAAAGTAGGGAGTACTGCAACTCCCTTTCCTGTGTTAATTTTTTTTGCTAAAATTATATCAAAAATATACAAAAACAACCAAATACAGTGGGTGGCCAAATTATTAGGGACACTACTCATATTTATGAAGTTTCTAGTTCAATTTATTTTTTTGAAAAAACAAATAGATCTTCACAAGATTTTTTTATTTTGTATTGCAGCTGGTACTGTTATTAATATTTTTGTTGAGTGTCAACCCGATATTCTACATCATTTATCAGATAAGTGAGGTTACTCTTCATATGGTGGTAATTTGTTAAAAATTTTTGTTACAGAGATGCTAAAAAATATTTCTGAATCGTTTTTCGTGACTTTTTCCTATTACAAATTATCAAAACGTTATTGATATTTCGTATAGAATTACCATAATAAACAATGAAGGAATTGTAATTTCCCTAATGACAGTCCGATTGGCAAAAGAAAACCTAATCGGTCGTTGTCGACCCAAAAACCACCTCTGATGGAGGTCATGAAGAAGATGCGGCTGCAATGAGCCCAATAACTCCAGAATATGACTGTTGCTGACTGCATTCAAATGAGAACAACTAATTAAAATAGTTTTAATACAGATTTTTTTGTGATTATCCCAATATTTTTAATCAGCGTTTCAAATTTTGGTCAACAAAACTTCATTTCTCCGACGACGTCTTGGAGAGAGCAGTTCCATCCAGACTGCCTTGTGGTGATGGTTAAATACCCGGTTGGTGTCATGGTATGGTCTGTGATTTCAGCAAAGGGCATAAGACGCTTATACATCGTGAAGTGGATCATGAGGCAGGATCCATACAAGCGAGTACAAAAAAATCCGGCTACTGCCACATATCGAAGAATGGTTCCCTGGTGATGCCGAGTTCATTTTTATGTACGATTCGGCATCGAGCCACAAAGCCAGGAGTGATAGTGCGTTCCTGGCCGAAAAAACATCACCATTTTGCCCTGACTGGGTATGAATCCTATAGAGAACATGTGGGGACTCACCAAACGGGCGATTGCTAATGGAGTGATCACCACCAAGCACCAATTAGTTGAAACTCGAGACATAAAAGCTTTAATTGCGGCAAACAGTGCAACACTAAATACTAAGATTAATTTTAGCAGATTTCCATTGATGCACATATATAGCTTTTATGAAAAAAATTTATAGTTTCTCCCACGTAACTTGTTTTTATGATCTTAGTAATACACTCTTTTGAATAAAAAATAGCTACAAGTCATGGAACCAACTGTTTGTTAAAAAAAAATCAGTCAAACTGGAAAATATAAGAAACTGAGTACTGTCCCTAATAATTTGGCCACCCACTGTACATTTAAAAACAAAATTACATTAAAATTCCTTTTTTACATTATAACTTTGATCTTATAAAAGAAACACCTAAATAAACAATTGTGTAAAGAAAATCACGTCACTTTCATCCAAAACAATTATGGTTACTGGCTGAATCTACTTTTTTGTAACACTGCATAAACAAAAAAAAAATAAGTTTTCGAAATAAAATTTTGCTATGTAGAATTTAAAATATTTATCAAAAATGTAGTACGTGTACTTTATTAAATTCCAATTTATTTGAAATTATATAAAAAAAATTAAAACAGTCATTACTAATCATAGCCAACGTATTGCGCCAGATTATTAACATAACGAAGTTTAGAATAGTAGGCTTTAAGTATGTTCAAATAAATATACAATTACAGCAAAAATATAAATAAAAAAGAAATGATAGTCAAATAGAATATACAAGCAAAAAAAATTGAGATTATTTGTGAAGATACTCTACTGAAAAACAAAAACAATACTAGTTACCTGATGGCAAACATCTTCCAACAACTCCATTGTAACATCTTCAACAAACAAATCCCACCAACGGATATGCTTCGAAGTTCTTCCAATCCAATCCACAACCTCAAATCTACTCAATTTTCCTGCTAGATACATTAACGCCACAGCTATAATTTCTGGCTCCCATTGAAGAGCTAGTGTGGTACAAATGCTATCATTTACAAAAGTCCATGCCATTTGTACCATTTTCTGCAGTTTCACGTTATCTCCCTTCAGACATTTTGCATATTTCAATAAATATTGATAAGGATGCTCTACTTGTAAATCAAATTTAATAGTCTGCAGTAAAATTCTTTCTAAAGTCATAACCTACGAAAACATAAAATTATTTATATAAAAGAATAAACACTTTCTTACCTACTTCTTCCTTTGGATCTTCACCAAACGTAGCAAATTTTTGATCTGTTAGTAAACTCCTAGCAATTTTAATTATATCTTTGCACTTCTTTGGAGTTTCTTCTACTTTTCCTGCCAAGAATAAACAGCAACATGCGGTCACATATCTAGGAAACTGTTTGAATGAGTGAAACATATAAAATCTATGATAGTATACAACGCCTGTAGCCATAGTATTGTAACCTAGATTGATTTTAGACCCTATATCTATGATCAATCTAGCCCCTAAAACAAATATAAAATTATTTTAAGTTTTATTACTTAAGTTTTTTCACATTACCCTCTTTTCGATAACGCATTTCAGTTTTGTAATCAATTCCATCTTGTGCAGAAGGCGTATTTCTCAATTCTTTTTTATCATAATACCACCCAGGCATTATTAAGTCAAAAGTGGTTTGAAATGGGAACTGCTCTTAATTATTTATGAACAATAATTTTAATGTTTTAACACACTTATTTAATACTTATTGTTTATATTTAAATGCTGCACATCAGATTTATTTGAAAATTATATATAATTCAATAATCCTTATAAATGTTTAGATACAATCACAGAACATACAATATTGTGCAAATATAAACCATTTGAAGCTATACGCTATACAAGAGACTAATCTCTAAAGATTACAAATATTTATATGTATATAGGTATTGTATGTACATATTACCATAGAGAAATAAATATAATATTTTACTTTTATCTATAATAATAACACTTTTATCCACACTTATACTTGTACTAACAACCACAGATCGAGATTACAAAAAGGATACTGACATTACTGACACTACTGACAGTGACAGTGACAGTGACAAGTGACAACTAACAACAACTGACAGTATGACGAAGACGTATGAGAGTTGACAGTACTGACACCGACACGCCGCGCCATTATTCCATGGCTAGAAATTGGCCTCAATGATTAGGGATCGAGGGGGATTATCCCTCTTTATCCTGCCTCATCTCGTGTAGGCCTGGACAGCCTTCGTAGGTGGGCCCCATCCGTCGTCTACCCCGACCGCAAATGCGGCCGGTGTAGGCGCTTTGTGGGACCTCCTTTTGTCCTGGCTGGGCCCCGCCGGCTAGGGCCCTTTCTTCTGGCGCTCTTCTTGCTTCGCCGGCTCGTCTGTGTAAACCCCGGGGGTAGTGTCATGTTTATGTGT